AGAATTTCCTAACCTCCAATGACACGGATTTATTGCATAAAATGTTGTTTATTTTGTAAAATGTAGTTTTGGCATGTCCTATTCTATTCATTATCTCTGTGATACATCTTCTATCGGATGTTTTCATGTGGCCAGTTAAATGTTTTACTTGTCCTAAAATAACGGCTTTAACTTTTATTATACATTTCAGCACTATTCTTTTCTTGGAAATCACCATTTCTTCTGTCTCCATTTTTCAAACTGAGGCCCATTTTATCACTGTCTACCACCACCGCATCTATCCATTCCTGTAGTTCTTTCTGACTTGTCGCTATCAAGACGGTGTCATCAGCGTAACTCAGGTTGTTTATGTTATGCCCACCAACCACAATTCATGGCAAATTCATGATAGATCTCATTATATATTCACTGTATAATGTAACCAAATCAGGTGATAGTACGCATCTTTGTCTTACTCCACTCTTTATGCTCGGGTATAGTAAGTATATTTTACCCCACCAGAACATCACACAAGCGATAAACACCCGGTGATACAAAGCGCCACCATGCGGATGAGGATCACCCGTGAAGAGGTCCCAGAAACCGCGTTTAACCGTTAACCACGCCCTTAGAATGGATAAATCAAGACTTTCTTACCAAGCCCTCATTCGGGGCGGCTCTCTAGCGAAGTTGGTTAAACCTGACTTTCGCGGCGGCCGGGTGACGAACTCCTTGTGGTCCGGGTTCACTCCCGGGGGTAGGCAGAAAAGCCACATTTCTCCCAGATCAACGGTACCTATAATGGAATCAATGCCGAAGGGTTGCGATATCCATAGTACCGAGTCAAAGGGTTTACAACTCATGGTTTCTGGATACGTAAAAAAAAAAAAAAAAAACCAAGCCCTCATTTGGACACCACAGGGGAAAAGATCTCGTGGAAGACCAAGGTAAACTCTACGTAGAACTATCATCAGGGAAGGCTCGCTCATGAGCCACTCAAACATCCAAGACCTACAACAGATTGCAACGAACCGCCATGCATGGAGAGTCATGACCTCTGCCCTATGTGCCGCACTCGACACAAGAGGAAAGACTAACTAACTAAATTGCGGCCCCCGGCAAAAGCCAGGGTGGGGCTTCCAAATAACGAAAGAGTGCATCCCACATAGGGACAACGATGGTTATACTAATATGCTCGGATATGTTCCCAACTGTTTATTAACTCTTATATCTGCTGTTTGCTGCCAATATCCGATTGGAAGTAATATACTTGTTGTCAGGGTTGCCATATTGGCATTTTTAATGCCAGATTCCCAAAATTGGTCATATTTGAAATTGAAACTGGCATGAGATAATGTTGAACTGGCATGTTTTAGCATATTTGGGTTTTTCTTGGCTTTTCTTATCAAGATGTGCTAACATTTTCTTCATGGTTTCTCCGTTAGAAACACGTAGATTTACTAAAAGCAATGTAGACCTACAGTTAAAACATCTTTATTTCAGTCTGACTTTGTTATGTTGTCCTGTTACGGACTAACAGGGATTCGCGTCATTTCTTATTGTATTTGTTGTCTTCCTAAACGAATCGCGACCAAGGCCCTCTGTAATTTGTGTTAATCCACTAGAATAAATGCGGTATATAAAACCGAAACCCACCACTGATATCAATTGATTCAGACTGTTCAGAAACTACTCGAAACCATAAAATAGAGAGGATATAAACCCAGTTCTATCTATGATATATTTTATTACTTTTACCAATCGCCACGTCATCCAAAAACTGGAAAGCATCTTATGACATCGCAAGTTTAATAGTAACTGAAAGAAAACATACCCACGGCTCAAAAGATTTTCAGACGGATTAGAGGCCGCATATTGTAAACTGCCAGTACACTGTTTCACCAAAAATTAGTAACATAAAATTATGAAAAATCTGAAAAACAGGATTAAAAACTGCGTCAAAAAGCCAGTCACAGCTTTTTACAACAATGACTCCTAGGCAAAGTGATGATAAAGTTAAAGGCAGCAGAGTTGCAACTTGCTGTAGGCATGACCTGCCATTGTGCAATACGCACAATTGATCATCTAAGTGAAATCATGAGAGCGCATGGTCAGGGGAGTACATTGGAGCACACAAAGTTGCATAGAACTAAATGTTCATGTCTAATAAACATTAGGTTATCAATGTCAGACTTGGACATTAACAAAAGAACATGAGAGAAGACTAACCACCTGTGAAATGAGATGTTTGAGAATGGCTGCGAATAAAACCAGAAGAGATCGAGTGAGAAACGATGTGATTACAAGAACTATTGGAACCATACCCATCGTTAAATTTATTGAGAAGCAAAGAATGAAATGGATTGGTCACTTAATGAGAATGGAACCAACAATGCCAGCATCAAGAGCATACAACATGAAAATCGAAACACCAAGAGGCAGGGGAAGACCAAGAAGAAGATGGATTGAAGGAGTCACGGACAACTTGAGACTTCATAACATCACGGCATATGAAGCGACTGAGCGCGCCCTGGCTCGGTTGCCGATCATCTGATAGACTGCGACGCCTAGCGGCACAAGCAGATTTTGACAAAAGAAAGAAGAATAAACAATATTATATCGCCTCACTTAAGGATGACCTTAATGATGATTTTCGGAACAAGAAATATTCCATCATTATAGATGAGTTGCAAGACTTCATCCCATCTGAGAAAATGCTTAAAGAGTTTACATCTCAAAAGGTTTACGCTGTATCATCCACTGGTTCCAGTGAGGAGGACAGTAAAGAATTCGAACTTGAGCTTTTGATGTGAAGTGAGTACATTGTTATACTTTATTTGGCATTTTCTGGTGTATTTTGGGTAATGGTTTGGCATCTGGCAACCCTGCTTGTTGTCAGTGTTGCCACTTTGGATCTTTTATATTCAAATTTAGATCTTTTTTCATTGCATTTAGATACTGTTTTTGACGTTTAGATCGTAAATATTTTTCTAGATTCTTTTCATATGAGTTAGATATTTTATAAATTTATGTGGCTTTCACTTTGAAAAAAAAAAACAACTTTCAACATGCCGAAAGAAAAGTTTGAGCAAAAAATTTGGAAAGAGTGGTTGCATGATGACAAAATTAAAAACTGGGGATATGACCAAAGTTTGTTGTAAGTGCTGCAAGTGTGAAATTAAAGCGAAAATACAAAACTCAAAGAGTCATGCAGAGACTAAAAAAGCATAAAACTGCAGTTTCATTTAAAGACATTACACCGCTGACAGCTGTTTTCAGAACTATACTGATAAATGAATCATCAAAAGTTGAAGTATCAGTCGCAATGTTTTTAATTTGTCACTGCGCAGTTTCAAACTGTGACCATTTGATCGATTTGTAAAAAATCTTGGACTAGTTAAATTTGAAAAGTGTGATGTAGAAAGTATAGTTTAGGAACTGAAGGACCTTTTAATCAGCAAACAGTTAGGCTTGAAGAATTTGGCTGTAATTGCTACTGATAATGCCTCAGTGATGGTTGGTATAAACAATGGCGTTTATGCCAAGTTGAAGGAAGCTAACCCATAGTTAATACTTATAAAATGTATGCGTCATTCATTGCAGCTAGAATTATCACATGCTTCATGTCAATATTTACCAAGGAATTTGGAATACCTTATTGCTGAAACACTCTACTGGTTTTCCAAATCATTTGTCAGACAACAGCAATACAATACATTATATACAGCCTTGAATGATGGTTCCACACCACCGAAAATTCTGTCAGATTGCAAAACTAGATGGTTATCAATGTAACCAGCTGTTGAAAGAATTATGAAGCAATGGCTGAAGTTGAAGACACACTTTGAAATAACAAGACAAAGTGAAAAGTGCTACACAGCTGAAATACTATATGGAATGTACAGTGATGAAAAAAATTTGTCATTCATTCTCTTTTTATAACCTATTCTAATGGAAATGCAAAAAGTTAATAAACTGTTCGAATCTAAACTTGTTGATAAAGTTAAATTACTTGATGATGTCACCTTGCTATTCCACTCGGTAAAAGACTGGTGTTGCCAACTTCTAAAGCTGATTTGCTCACTTGTACTATAGAGAGCTATTTGGCTCCTAAGCCACACCTTGGATATTAAATCGAATCAAAAATTGATGATTTAAAAACGAAAGGACTGTTAACAGAGAATGAAAAGAACAGCTTAAGAAAACACTGTCAAGATTTCCTTATCTCATTATTGAAGCAATTGAAGCAGAGACTTCCTGAAAATCTAGATGTTTTGAAAAATATTTCACTTGTTTCTGTGAGCAACATACTTCAGCCAATAAAGTACATACCTTAAATATTGTACAGTTATGAAATTTTTAGGGGCTTCTGATAATAGAGTCGCGGAAGCAGAATATCAGTTAACTAAAATAAAGTTAGCTGAATGGACAAACAAACCAGAAACTAAAGCGTTTTGGAGTGAAGTGAGACAATTTAAAGATGCCTCATCAAACAGTCCATTCTGCAAGCTCTTTAAAGTGCCATATCTGCTATGATACTACCCCACTCAAATGTTGACGTAGAAAGAGTTTTCAGTGCTAGGAATTATGTCAAATCTAACCTAAAAAACAGGATGAAATTCGACCTCCTAAATGTTATCGTGCCATTAAAATTCGGTTTGATGAGACTAGAGAAATAAGCCTACTGTTCCACTTATAAAGAAATTTGAACAGCTAAAGCATACCAGGGTCATTTTGGATCTGAAGCTTCAACTTCATTATCCAAGCTAAGTTTATCCTGTGGATCTTGTGAGGCAGACAACAGTGAAGGTGAGGACATGATTATGTAGGGTAAGACATAACAAAAGCTTTGTAATTTTTTACTTTTTTTTTTAATTTGGATGTTTTTTCTAGATCTTTTCTACGGAGATTTAGATCTTTTTAGATATTTTTTGACACCGTTTTGGATATTTTTTGTCACAGAAAAGTGGCAACACTGCTTGTTGTACAGCTGCAGTTAGTTCCCCTACAAGGAAGGGAAGATGGCGGGCATCTCAAACACAGTCAAATCTATAGCTAAAACTAAACAGTTTTCCTACGATATCTTTTTCGATGGCGCTTTATTATCTAGCACCAGGGGATCTCTAATTGTAGAACTCATCAAATACTTTTTATACGAACGTCAACAGATTCCACTGCCTGTTGATGAATTGAAAAATAAAGTGGCACACGAGGAAAACTCCGACAATTTAGAAGCAGAAACTGATAATAATAATCATCTATCCGGACGAAAATTACACGAGGCTGGTCAGCTAGCGTTAAAATTTAAGTCAGCGAATGTTCACAAACCTGGAATTTATTCCGATATCCCTTTGACTGATGTTACTAACGTCGGTATCTTACTACGCGATTCACATATTTCAAGCGACCCGGATTTCAAAGCGAAAGAAGGATCCGACAAACGCTTCAAGGTAAGTCACCAGTGCATATTATTATTTGTTATTATATTAGTGTAGTAATTATTGTCGGCTCTGTGGCTAAGTCGATGCGAACGCTTCGTAATGCCGGGGTGCCGGGTTCGATCCCAGCTGCGGGCCATGCGCCTTGCGTTGGTTTCGACAGTGGTATCAGAGGGCCGACCGTCCAGTGAGCAATGGCAAACTACTGGACGTAAATTTGCCTAGAGAAACCACACAACAGCCAGGGGCTGCTGGGGTTGGTTCTGCAACGTCCTGTAAAGGATACGCAACTAACCTTTAGTAGTTAATTATTACGAAAAAAACCGAATACTAGCCACTGATTTTCTCTGGGGAGATTAATAATAGCTACAAATGTTTCATTTAGAGCCATTATCAATTATTCTTCAGTATTCATAAAGAGCCATAAATAATACTAATACGTAATACATAGTTAAAAAAAAAAAGGTAAAGTCGGGAGATGTGAACCAGCGTCATTGCACACGGTTATAAACATAAGTGCTCTGCCACAGTACAGACAGCTAAGAATTGTCCGCCTGTGTCGCCGTTCACACGTAACTCTGGTTCAGCGAGGTTCCTCCATTTACCCCAGAGAGTCACTCTCTCTGGTACCCATTTCCTAGAGAGGCTGGGTGAACCCTGGGAGCCCGGTTTCAAACACTGACCGTAGCATTCAGCGAGTCTCAACTGGATTTGAAAGCAGGCCTCTTATCGACTGCGCTAACGCGGCCCCCTTCATAGAACAGTGCTATTCAAAGTTATCTCATGGGCCAAAATTAGGACGAGAAACGGAGATCGCTACAAGCCCAGGCAAAGGATAAAGCTCATTAGTACAATAATAATCTGCGGGCCACTTGCTGGTTCTCCCTGCGCCAAATCTGTAAATAGCTTTCACATGCAGTATCTAAGAAAAATACTTGATATTACCTGGCAAGACAAGATCACAAACAGTTTTCTGACTACTCAGTTTTAGAAAGCTCAGCTGGCTGTGTCCCTGATGGGGAATGGTCGGATCATTTAGAACATCATCTACAGTTAATTACAGATTGGTAGAAGATGCCTAGGCTGACCTCTACTATAGTATGTGTGCGTGCAAGTGGGACATGATTGATACACTGAGTGAGGTAGATTCATGGGGGAAAATGCAATGCACCTTGTTGCATGGAAGGGGCAAACCACGAAGGCAATGAGAATGACGGAAAAAACGTAATTGCAGAAAGAATGAGAGCTAAGCATCTCTGAGAATATGCCCACTAAATACACATGACAACAGCAGTCCTGAAATCTCATGCTCTCATTGTGGAAGACTTGTCTTAAGGGGTCACTACACCAAAAAATTTTATTTTTTTATTTACAGAGTTTGAGCAGTTATTTTATAATGATCATTTGTAGGGATACATGTTATTACATTTGTATACTTTAAGTGTTAGAAAAATCATAGTTGTCATAGCAATAGCCGCCATCTTGTGAAAAAAAAACAATATGTTCTTAGAATCCTAAACTTTTAGAAACAAACATAGTTATTTAACAATAGATGATGGATTCATGACTATTTATCCTATTTAGAGGTACAGGCCTAGTTTATTTACTTTAAACATGTTTTTAAATATTTTTCTTAGAATTTTAAAATGTAGGTTTATTGAAAAATTCAAAAAAATCTAGCATCTTAAGACAATAATCAAATTTTAAAGACAAAAATTTTATAAAATCTACTTTTAGATAAACCAGTCCCTACAATATTGTTTACGAAGTACGCATACAAAATTTCATGTTTCTACTCCTTAAATTAGTTTAGATTTTAGGATTTCACACACACAGCAAACTGAAATATAGAGATTTGAGAAAACTGACTTTTAAACTTTTTTTTATCTTTAAAAAGTGCATGAGGTAGTGTCGTTAGTATTAACTTTTCAATGCTAAATTGTTTACAAATGACATACATTTTGTGTGTCATCTTTTCTACGAATGCCGAACTTTACAAAAACGAACACATTGAAAAAGTGATATTTTTGTCATAAATTGGAAAAAATGCAGTGTAGTGACCCCTTAAAGAGTCTTACACATGACAACAGCAGTCCTGAAATCCCATGCTCTCATTGTGGAAGACTTGTCTTAACGCGAGTGGTCTTGCTAGCCACACTAACCATCACCATAAACTGTGAGCCACGCCTCCTCATAGTACACACAGCACAACACTATCGTCCGGAAAGATGGAAAGGCGCCAGTTAACTAGGCTACTGTATATTGTTATCACTACACCTTGGGCATTCACATGCATGCTCAGTCCTCAGATGCAGTAGCTACTCCAAGGCAGCTCTACCGACTGTTCCATGAAGAGCTGGTTATAACCACATGTCTCCTGTGTCTTGACCTCGGAGGTGGCATAGACACTCTGTGCCATGCTTTACTTCCTAGACACTCTTTCCCACGCTGTACTTCCGTCTCCTTATGTAGATGCCATTATCAAGCCAGGCCCAATTAGAACTATTATGTATGTGTTATGGTGACTAGGCTACATCCCAGTAAGGCCTCTTAGATGATGTGAAGTTCCAGTTTCAGTCTTCCCATCTGGGTTCCTGGGCCCCATTGTTAGGAAATCAAGAATAGACCCACTGCCTCCCCAACAAGCATGTCATAAGAGTCAACTAAGTGGGAACATTCTTCGAAGTGCATCTGCCTGAGAGGCAAGGAACCAAAAATCTGCATACAAATAAGCCAGATCTGTGAAACGGATATGCCAGCGACACTTAGTTTCTAGGACAAGACTAACCGTGTATAGACAAACCCCTAAAACTTTCCGCTAGAGTTTTTCTTTGGATGGAGAGGGAAGAAGAGCATTGCAACATACTCCCTTGTAAAAATTTTACTTTAGAACTTTAGTATCAGCTTGGGAGAAAGTTTCAGAAAATTGCGTTCTGTCCGTCTTTTGCTCACTTGTATCACTATCTACCTGTTGTCTGAGAGCTTTCAACTATTTTTGTTAGTATGGTTTCTTTAGAGCCTTGTCTTCTCCTGTGATCTTCTTCTTCTTTATGTTCGGTTTTGTATGCTCAGATCAGACTATCAGGTAGGTTGCCTCTGTAAACTCGCATGCCAGTAGCAGGTCCGTCATGGTTGCCCATAGCTTGCTCTGCACACTTTGCTCTGTTCAATCCCAGCTGCTGGCCATGTGTTTCGACAGTGGTATCAAGAATGCCGACCGCCGAGGACGCAATGACAAACTACTGGACGTAAATTTGCCTTGAAAACCGCACAACGACGAGGGGCTGTTGGGTTTGGTTCTGCAACGTCCTGTAAAGGATACGCAACTAACCTTATGTAGAGGGGACAGACTTTGTGATCAAACTATGTTTACTTCTTTTCCAGCTGTTTGGAGGACTTTGCTTTCTATGAATTGTGACCTGTCGCTTTGTCTTGCATCTGATCACATTACTCGTTTTCTGTTCTTTAATTAAAACACCTGTTTATTGTCTCTGTACTGACACAGTAAAAGAATGTAAACTTTTCTTTTCCAGACCAAACCACCATGGTCAAAGTCACACTTACAGGACAAGAAGGCCAAACATCTAGTGACTGAGCTGACACAGTTGTTTGACAGCTTACAGAAAGCTTTTGAATTGTGTCCAGAGATTGAACAGGTAAGATTTGTTTTTATTAGTATTTCACATTCCTCTTCTCCTCCATCATTTGTCCTACATTTGGATGCTTGTTGTCAAAGTAAAGACAGTCTTCTCCCACAGACCTGTTAAGGAGCTGCACATCTTGTGCTTTGTCTCTGTGGCTTTCTTCTTTGTTCACTGGCTGTAAGCTCCAGCGGTAGTCTTGGTTGTTCATCCATTTGGACTTTGGCTGTGTGCCAGGGCCTGAGTTTTGCGTGCGCACCTGTTTTACTGGCTTAATTAAATGTAGTTAGCTGTTCCTCGCTGTTCAGGTAGATGCACTTCGACTTTGAAAGAAGCTCCAAGTAAGTTGACTACTATGATGTGCTTGTCGCGGAAGCAGTGGGTCTGTTGTTTTTCCCACAATAGGGGCCTCAGAACCCACATTAAGAGGCCTTTGGTCATGTCTGGTAGCACAACTCTTTGTATGTTGAATAATCCTGAACAGTGCTTGGGGCTGTAGCCTCAGATATTTCGTCGATCCTTCACTTGCATAACTGACCTCTAGGTCTGCTTCTGTTAAGTCTAAGTGACCTTTTTGGCCCCCCCCTCCCCTTCCCTGTTCAGCAATGTGTGGTGGTAATCTTTTAAGACATGAACGAACCATTTGATCTGTCGTCCCTTGATGTAGTTTAGTTCTGGTTCCGTCCCAGTTTGTTTTCCAAACCCATGTTGTCTTTAAAATAACCAAGTATTCTTGATGTTAGTAAACTCAAAACATGATGGGATGCTTTTGAATTCAGACTCGACCATTGCAGTTCATGCAGTAGACAGTTTTTGTTTTTAAAGTAATAGGGAAATGGCCATAGTGTAGCAGCTAGGCGCTCACCTGTGGATAAAAAAGTCATGGGTTCTAATTCTGACGGAGCCAGACTTTTAAAAAAATGACCTTGGCTTCCAGATAACCCAGCCTTAAATGGGTACCAGGTACACTCCTCGGAAGTAAAGGCAGTCGGCGTGATGCTTGCCACATCACGCACACTCACCCTGTGCCATTTGGTCTATAAAATGTAGGTAAAATATGCCTAACTGCGTGGGGAAAAAGTGCTTTACTTTACTTAACGTGGGGGCATACCGAGACAATGTCAGATGACAGAGGTAAAAACTACACACTAGAGAGTTAAAAGGTCATAGACCACGGGGCAGACCAAAAGACGATGGAGAGATAATATCCAGACAGCCCTGCAAACACTTGGTGAGATAAAAGATGAGTGGAGGCTGGTGATATCTGCAGCAATGAACCTCAGGGGCTTAGAATACTGAAGAAGAATAGGTAGATGAATTAGAGCAGCTCACATGAAACAATTGTAAATTTAACACATGCAGTAATTAGAAAAACAGAAAATATATGAGACTAATTTTTTGACGGCCTTTCCTTTTATTCTATAGTTCAGGGCTATTCAACTGGCAGCCCATGGTCCAGATTTGACCTGCAGAGACCTACCAAATCACCTGCCAATTGTATTTTATAAATTTTTTTTTTATATGCCCAGACCTCTGGCTCATGTTGATCCCCATTTTCCAACATTTTGACCCCTGGGTAAACTTAGTTGAATGACCCTGCTATAGCTTATGACCATGTAATTTCTGCCCTTTGACCTGCAAACTTTACTGGGATTCAAACCCAGGTAAGATAGGCCGTGGGGGAATTTCATGACCTATCCTGTAAACCAGTGTTTCCTAAACTTTTCTTAGACGCTGCGCCTTTTTTCAATTAAAATTTTCCACGGCGCCCTAACCTAAGTAAAAGCATGACTATTCGTATGTGAGAGATTAAAAAAAAAAACTGGCGTTTCTTTGAATATTTTGCAGTGCCCCTGTGAAGAGGTCGTGGCTACCCGGGACGCTGCGGCTCACAGTTTGGGAATCACTGCTGTAAACTATACTTCTGTTTGTGTTTGCAGGTTGCTATTATTCTCGGGGGAACAGTGATGAACCCAAAGGAATCCTACGTGATCAGCTTCCCGCCACCTTGCCCTGACGCCGACAGTCTCCCCCTCATGTCCTGCAAACGTACACTTTTTCAGCAGGTGAGGTTCTTGCAGTGTATAGAACATCGTTGTAGCTATGTGTGGTATAGTGTGTTTGCCATATTTTTTTTTATAGCCAGGCATTTATGGGAGTTTTCAGGCTGAAAACTTTATCATGACAAGATGACAAAGCAAAGAAAAAGTATTACAAGTCAGCTTCACACAATCACAAATGATAAGTTACATTACAGTTAGAAAGCCTTTATCAGCATCTGACATGAATAGAACATATTACATTTATAATGATACATAAAATCACTTATCTGATGTCTCTTCAAGAAAAATCAATTATGTCTGGCCAGTTGAAGCTCTCAACTTTAGCCCTTTATACACCCACTGGCTTACTCCACCAATATCACGACATACAGTATAAATAGTTGGTTGTTTCTTAAAGTGGTGTAAGAGATAGATGTATGTCTAATATTCTTCTTCATGTTTACTGGCTGTAACTCTGGCAGTAAGATCGGCTTGTTCTGTCACTTCTGGACTATAATCTTGTTCTAGAACATGAGTTTTGTGGGTACATCTGTTTTACAGATCTGGCATATTTGTATGCAGACTGTTAGTTCCTTGCCTCTGGGGCAGATGCACTCTGACTTTGTTGTACACAACCCCAATTAATTGGCTTTAACAATTGCTTGCTATGGATGGGCAGTGAATCTTTTTTCTCTCCCTTCACACAGAAACTACGAACAATTTGTATGTATCAGAGGGTCTCTTTGACAAAAAAACATCCAAAATGGAGCAAAAAATATATAAAAACATCTAAATTTGTGTGGGAAAACATCTAGAAAAAAAACATCAAAATGGAAAGAGTGACAAATTACTTACCTTATAGAATCAAGTCCTCATCTTTACTGAAGTCTGCCTTACAAGATCCACAGGATAAACTTGGTTGATGAAGTTGAAGCTTCAGATCCAAAATGACTCTGGTATTCTTTAGCTGTTCCAATTTCTTTTAATACCTAATAAGGGAGCTGATAAGTGGAACAGCCTTTTCTTACTCTTATCAGGCCAAATTTTATTCTCAAGACAAATTTCATCATGTTTCTTAGGTTAGATTTGATAAATTCACTCCAAATTAAAACATCTAGAAAAACATCTACCATCTAAACATCTAAATCTGGATGTAAAATATCCAAAGTGGCAACACTGGTCTCTGTGATGGGTCAAGCCACCTGCCTTGAAGGTTAAGTGTTTGCATCTCAAATTGCATGTTTTCTAGTAGTGCATTTGTTTTGCAGACCACTGGCGACTGCATGCATTTTCTTTTACACAAACGTAAATTTGTCTGATTTAAATTGTCTTTCCCTTCCAGATAATTGGCGAGGACATCCTTGGGACAATGAGTACAAACCTGTCACCCACAAGTATGATGATATCCGTTCTGGCCCCTCGCTCCTGTCCTGTAAAAGGCTTTGTACCCAAACATTTTATGCGCACTCCAAAGACTGGAGCCGTGATATCTTTTAACTTCCATTGCAACTATCTCTTGCCAGTTTGTCATGATTTAACATTTTTTGAAGACTTGGAAATTTCCGGAATAGAAATTTTGGGCAGTGTACAAAAAAAGCCTGATAGTGGGAAAAACAGAAGTAGACTGTCTGTAGACTCAAAAATTGGAGAACACTCTTTTAAAGAAAATCATATGGATTCAGGATTAAACAGTGCTGAAGTCTCCTCAGGTGGTGAAAATTTCTTACATCCAGGGTTTGGAAGTGAGATAAATCATAAGCAGACACCTCAGATAAAGCAGCTTACCAAGAGACTTGCTAGTCCGGTTGTTAGAAGTGCTGATGTCCCACTAAGTACTGACTCCTCTCAGACAGGCTCCGACTGTATTTGGTACCAAAGTCCGATCGTCATCAAAGGCTACAGGATCAAAGATGTCTTTCATAACGCTTTCACAAGCTGTTGATTTTAATGTGTGGTGTATTTATTTGGAGTTGTGTGATGTCACTATTATATATTTATTTTATTCTTTGATGTGATTTGTTTAATCTTCATGACATGCCTGTAAATGAATGTTTCAGTTTATGGTCTCTGCTATGTCATCAAGTGGTTCTTTATTATGGTGATCTTCCTCCTGTAGAATTCACGTGTAGGTTCACACTTGGTGCAGAAACTTGTGGACACAAGCTGTCTGCAATGCGTTGTGAAAAGCGTACAGATGATTCTTACATCTCCTCCCCAACACCTCGCTGAGGTAAATGGTGGAAGAGAAGAAGAAGACTTTGTTTCTTTGTCATGAGCTACTATTTTGTGGGTGCAGCATTTTTTGTCGTGATATATGGGAGCTTGATAACGATGATATATTTGGCAGTAGCAAGCACTCTTCTTGCAGTGCTCCAATCCCCTGACTCATTTTGGGGAAAGGGGAGGGGGTGTTTAAAAAAAAAAGATGAAATGTCTGTGCAACCTCACAAAGTATGGATTCATACCCTTGTTTTGACAGACTTATAGGACAACAATGTCATCCGTGTATGCCAAACTTGACATCCAAACAGGCAATCAAATCTTAGACATACTCAAGAGGAGATCAGAGGGTCATGTGCGATGATGATGATCTTCAAATCAACACTGGATGAGCATTTATCTATGATCTGGCAATTCTGCAGCTGATGGCAAATAACCTGGCTATTTTGCTTTGTCCAATGAGAGGCTAGATGTCTATTCTTCCAAGATCTTTTTGCTGGTACTACTTTTTAGGTTGTGCTGTTGTGGGAGCCTGGGCATATTTAAAAGAATCTTTGCTTTGAGACGAGTTCAGAAATGTTAACCAAATCTCTGTGTTTCTTAAACCTCACCTTAAGCGATAGATCATACACCTGTTTGGATAAAACTAGACAAAGGTGAAAGAAACGTTACAGAATGCAGCAGATTTAAATGTTTTGCAGAACAAAGGGGTCTAGACACTGTCTATGAAATGAGAAAAGAATGCTTCAGGCTATGTATGAAATGAGAAAAGAATGCTTCGGGCTATGTATTAAATGAGAAAAGAATGCTTTGGGCTATGTATTAAATGAAAAAAGAATGGTTTGGCTATATTTGAAATGAGAAAAGAATGGTCTGACCACCAATTAGGAATTAACCTAGCAATGCCAGAAGAAGGAGCATACACTAGCAAATGGAAACATCAAGAGGTACAGTGATACATAGAAGAAGATGGACTGAAGGAGTTACTGACAAACTTAAGGTCTCACTGGATACCTCGCTCCCCCAAGCTTGGCTGCTTATTATCCATTAAACTGGGACCTCCGGTGGCAGAAAAACTTTAAAGGCACTAAAGAATAAGCGGAGAGAAATATCAGATAAATATTATCGGCAAACAGATTAATGGCCCATTTTCACGCCAGTAACATGATTGGCATATGATGCTAGGCTCACTTTTTTTAAGGCAGTCAACATTTATTGGGGGGGGGGGGGGGGGTCCTCGTGTGGGTACCGGGGCCCTTTAATAGGGAAAACAAGAATAGACCCACTGCCTACCATAAACATGGTGTGAGAGAGGCAAGGGACCAGCAGTCTGCATTCAAATTAGTCAGATCTGTAAAACGGATGCACACGCAACTCTTAGATTCTGGAACAGGGCTGCAGTCCAAACATGGATGAACAAGAACAACTTTCCACCAGAGTTTACAGCTGGTGAACGCGAATAAAAAGAAGAATATTTATTCGGGAAAATTTATTTTTGTATGTTGCAGTGACTTTACCTGGAAGCCAGGGTCATTATTCAGCTGATGTATGCTTATGTTTTAGTATGTTTGCGATAACTTTGGCTCAACCCTAATATGTCTCGAATTTTTTTTTAATTGGCCTATCCGTTTTAAACTGGTCCAGCTTTGTAAGATATGTGCAGATAATTTTTGGAATGTGAAAACGAAAAAGTTATCCAGGAATTGAATTTGTCACTAGACAATAATTTTCCGTCTCAAAAGGTTAGTCATCACTTTTGAAAAGACCAAAACAAAAATTCCTAAATGCTCAACTTCACAAAAAAAATATTGAAATTTATTTAAGGGGTCTACATTGCGAGTTGGTCAGTCTGTTAGCCTCAAGCTATGAAAATAATTTCACAGGCCGGATCTTTCTGGACAAAATTTGTCAAGTTCGCGCTCTGTGTAGAGCAGCAGGTAGATAGTTGTACTGTGTGTGTGTTGTCCATCAAGATGATGACCACTCTTTTTCATCAAGTATGGGTACGAAGATGACTGATGAAGCCGATGCGGGGCTGAAAAGTTCTTGGACAGCGAGGACAGGGAATGAGTCTTGTGTCAGGGAGGGGATCTCCTGCAGTCACCTTTCTGTCCATCCTTTTCTTCATCGGTCTTGCTGTTATGTTTGCTTCACATGTAGCCGTGCCCTTGTGTAGAGCTGCACGCTCTAGTTGTACTGCACTAAGTATGAGCCACATGAGGATTGAAAATCCTGCCGCAATGAAGTCGATTCTCTGGACTTGTAATACACCATACATGTTGGTCAACCCTGGCAAGGACCCAGTCATATATCAAGCTCTTCCCCGTGCAGGTTCCGGGGTGCTATTATACGAAAAACAAGAATAGACCCACTGCCTACCCAAAAGCATGTCGTAAGAGCCGATTTATTGGGAACTTCCTTCGAAGTCGGAATGCATCTGCCTGAGGGGTAAGGGACCAGCAGTCTGCATACAGATGAGTCAGATCTGTAAAATGGATGCACGCGCAACACTCAGGTTCTTGAACAGGGCTGCAGTTCAGAAGTGGACGAACTTTCCACCGGAGTTTACAGCTGGTGAACACGAAGAAGAAATTTCAAGCGCTGTTGGTGATTGAAAAGTTTATTATGTATGTAATTTTATCTGTGGTCTTAAACATTTTTTCTTTTTCTGAGTAAAATTATTTTTATTAGTATGGCATTAGAAGTGTTCATATTTCCTACCAAAAATAGGAGTCGGCCAAATACTAGACAGTCGGCCAAATACTAGACAGTTGGCCAAGTAAGACAAGTAAACCAACTCAGAACCGGTGTTGTCAGTCACCAGAAGCTGAGGGGTGTGCTGAAGATAGGATCTGAGGGCTTATGGACCTATCCAGTGTGCACTATATTTCCGACCATTAAAGCATTTTGAAGTTACACTATCCAGCAATTGAATAATATGGCAGGTTTTAATTATGGCCTGGTTCACGCTAAATTTTCCAGCTTCTTTTATTTGTATTTTAGCTACCATTGCACATCTGACGCCAACCGAGCTTTGTACAAGATAATTTTCTGGCAATATTTGAAAAATGGAACTGGTCACCAAACATAATTACACATGTCCTGTAAAACCTTGTTGGCATGAAGTCCGGAGAGGCTAAATATAGAGCTCGTTAAAAAAGAAAAGAAAATGCTAACTGTGGATTGATAATTAATATTACACAGCTGCTAGGACTAAAACTGTTCTCCTTAAGTGAGTTTGTGCTGTAATTTTATCTTGTGTTCTTAATGTATTTTTATATCACGGGCATGAAACTGATGCCATTAGGATTGTAGTCCTTTTCTCATTAAAATAAATTGTTTCTTTAAAATTATTATATGGGATCCCAGTATTACGTGACAAGTTGAAGTAGCATTAACTCTACAACTTTATGTATGGTGTCGTTATTTTCTACGTCTAAGGATTTATATCAGAAATAATTTCTTTCTTCTGCATTTACAAGTGCCAGTCAGAATATTACAGTTTATTTATCCTGCTATACAGGGTGTCCAATAAGTTTTCTAGCAGAGGAAAATTATCCTTGTGCGGAAAAAAAAAATCCATGTGTGTCCTCCACTTCACGTATAAGCATGGCTGGAGTTATGCTGGTGATGTGTTTATTTTTCCTGTATATGGAGACTCGGATATCCTGTGTTTATATGCTGTGAATGTTCATAATCTGAAAAGATTAATTCATTTCCGATATGTAATTATTCACAACTGATATAAAAATAACGATGACTGCAATCAAGCTGATATAAATGTTGAATCAATAAACAGCATCACAGCACTCTGGACACCCCCTTAAGCGCTCCATCCCTGTCTTCAGCAACAGGTGAAGAGTTCCAAGTTTGATGGTATCGGTATCTGTCTGACTATATTCATCTTGTCCTTCTCTTGAGTGTTAAGCATGGGCCAGATCTCCTAAGCTGGTATAAATGAGTTCATTGAACACAAACTGACTAAAACTCCATGTCAGAATGACATTGCAGAACATTCTCAGAATCTCCTGCCAGTGTGTGGTGTTTCTAGGGAATATATACATTCAGTAGTTTACCAGGAAGGAGTATGAAAGTACATGAGGGCAAAAGACAGAGTTTCTTTCAGGCTGACCATGAATGCTGTCTCCACAATGAAGATTGGCTACAAAGTACTGTTGTTGTAGTGAGAATATTTTCTGTGGTGAGAACTGATCTCTTCCACGTGTTTTTTTCTTGTCCAACACGGGTTTGTTTTAGCAAACGTCTAAGCCACATAAATACTATACAGGTAGCTACAGAAAACATTTAACCAACCCAGCATTTGTGTTATCAGTTGCCGCACACGGAGGAAGATTTGTAGATGGAAATCGGGCACTTATATACTTGTGGGTGATTAGTCAATTGCAAACTGACAATGAGGAGAGAAGACACCAGCCACAACATAGGGTAATCATGTTGATACGCAGAGACATCAAATGCCACAATTAGTGTAGTGTGTTAAATCTTTCACTGACAGACAATTCATGTCACTTGGGGTTTTCCAAAGATGATACAATGTCCTTGCTGCCTTCTTTCACAGAATGGTCTTCCACAAGTGCATGAGATTTCAAGACCTACCATTATTCTCCATGTGAGTTTCGGGGCCCCATTTTGGAGGGAGGGGTGTAACATGGGTTGACCCACTGCCTTCCTAACAAGCATGTCCCACAAGGCTACTGATTA